ACCTTGGGAGTTTTCTATCGTCCTCCCAATAACGATCCTAAGCCTTTAGAGGACTTACAAGCTGTTTTGCAAGAGTTTTCGACGAACGAGTTGATTCTTGTTGGCGATTTCAATCTTCCGGAGATTGATTGGTTGAATAACAGATTCTTGCGTCAATCTGATATTTACACACTCATGATGGACATCGTCCAAGACAATTTTTTGACACAGTTGATAAATAAACCTACCAGAGACTCGAACATCCTAGACTTAGTTCTCACTACTTCGCCCGACCTCGTAAACCATTTGGTTGTTGGAGAACCCTTTTCAGATCACAATTCTATCTCCTTCTCGTTATCTGGTATACCTTACGTCCAGCGTAAATCACAGAAGTTGTTGTATTGCTATGGTAAAGCCGACTGGGATCACTTAAGATCGCTGTTATCTCATATTCCATGGCATTGCGCCTTCTTCGACAGCGATATTAATCATAATTGGGCTTGCTGGAAAGACTTGTTATTTACAGCAGTGGATGAGTGCATTCCCAAACGCAAGAATAAAAAGAGATCCAGTGCCCCCTGGATTACACAGGAACTTATCGTTTTGTGCAAAAAGAAGAAATTATTGTATAATAGAGCTCGCAGAAAAAACAATTCAACTATTTGGGAAAAATATCGGCAACTCAACAATTCTGTTAAGAGACTTTGTAACACAGCTAGATGGTCTTATATAGAGAAACTTGCACTTGATCTTCAGGAAAATGAAAACCCGAAACCTTTCTGGAATTTTGTTAAGTCCAAGAGAAGAGGCACTAATAATCTCATCTCTATAAGCGTCGATGGATGTGTTCTGACTGACGACTTCAGTATTGCTCAGAGTATGAACTCATACTTCTCTTCGGTGTTTACTACCGAAGATTATGCAAATTTTCCCACTCAAGACTGCACTGTTGACAAGAAACTTGCGAAAATTGATTGTTCTGTCAATGAGGTCAAACGCCATCTTCTGAAACTCAAGCCCAATAAGTCTCCTGGGCCTGACCATATCGCGCCGTGCATTTTTAAGTCGTGTGCTTCGGAATTAGCACCTTCGTTGACGTATATGATAAACAAATCGTTGTCTCTTGGCCTTTTGCCTGAGGAATGGAAACATGCCGACATTACACCTCTACATAAGAAGGGTTCCAAATCTTCGAGAGAAAATTACCGCCCAATTTCCCTTACTTCAATTGCTTGTAAGATCTGTGAAAAAATTGTTTTTGATAGGATGATTAAGTTCTGGCGCGAAATCGACTTTATCAATAGCAACCAATTTGGCTTTTTACGAGGAAGATCTACTACAACTCAAATGTTATCAACGTTTAATGACTGGGCGAAATCCCGTAATTCATCCACTCCTACCGATGTTGTTTTTCTGGATCTTGCCAAAGCCTTTGACAGCGTTCCTCATGAGCGACTGCTTTTAAAATTGAAATGTAGCGGCATCGACGAATGTTTACTCAACTGGCTGAGACATTTTTTGGTGGGGCGCAAACAACGTGTAGTCGTTAGGGGATCTTATTCTGATTGGTCGTGCGTTACCTCCGGAACTCCACAGGGAACCATTCTCGGGCCCCTATTGTTTTTATTGTATATTAATGACATATCTGAATTCCTATCATCTACAGTGAAACTATATGCAGACGACACGAAGATCTACAGAGAGATAATTGACCCTATAAAAGATAGTCAGCTTCTTCAGGATGATCTTAATAATCTTAGCGCATGGGCTCGTAAGTGGCAGCTACGTTTCAACGCAGACAAATGCGAATCTATGCGAATTACGCATTTACGCGATAAGTCGGTAACTAATTATTTCTTAGAAAAGCCCCTGAAAGATGTGACTAATTTTAAAGATCTCGGTGTCACACTAACTAGAGATCTTTCATGGGGCCATCACATAAGTATCACTGTCAATAAAGCGAACAAAGTTTTAGGTTCCATTAAACGCTCAGTAGGCACCGCTAACACAAATGTTTTTTCTATGCTGTACATGTCTCTGGTACGGCCAATCTTGGAATATGCGGTACCTGTTTGGTGTCCTTACCTTGTTAAGGACATCCATACCCTTGAAAATGTACAGCGAAGAGCCTCAAGACTCGCTTTAAATCAACGCAAAGGAGAAATGTCCTATGAAGACCGACGCAAACTGCTAAAATGGCCCACTCTCTCTGACCGTAGAACTTACTTATCTTTAGTCGAATGTTATAAGATAGTTTTTGGTTTTTATCATTTAAATTTTGAAGACTTCTTTGATATTGCCACGATTCGGTCTACGAGAGCAAATCATCAATACAAACTCTATATTAAACCAGCTAGACTTAATTGTTACAAAAATTCTTTTTTTATTAGGATTGTCAAATTATGGAATGAGTTACCGGGTGATATAGTGGAAGCTGACAGCTTTCAGCATTTTAAATCTAAACTTAAATCGTACTTAAATATTTGATTGTAATGATTTTGATTTATATTTTGTCTTTTCTTTTAAGGGAGTTTTTACACAGGGATAACCTCTTAACTTCCTTTTCTAGAAGTATTTTCTTTTTAGTTTTATTTGTATATAATAGTTATCATCTGCTTCTGGAATAAATAAAGTATGTATGTATGTATGTATGTAAGCATCTCATGCCCATGCCAATGCCAATGCCCTGTATATATGTAGACAGTACCTTAGAACAGGCAAGACCACCTGAGCCTCCACCAATAACAATAAGGTCATATGTGTAGCTTTCTGATGGAGGCATTATCAATTCCATTAGCTTTCCATCTGTATGAAGCTTCATTGTGTCATCTGCACCTCCGATGTGTTTCCCGCGAATGAAGACATTTGGAACTGTTCTTTGTCCTGTCATATCTTTCAATTTGTCCTGTATCGTTGATCCATTATCTGAAAAGAAAAAAAAAAAATTAACCATAAAAAAAAATATAGTTGGCAACTATTTAGAATAAACAAAGGTTTCAAGTAAATCATTTTTTTAACAGTCTGATCATCTTTACAGTAAACAGAAACACATGATTCAGGGTTATCACTAACTATTGGCTGCTGGCGAAACTCGCCAAATAAAAAAGCCATGTTTTTCTGCTGGATTTTTGGCAAATGATCACTAATTGATGAAGCACCACAGGCAATTCTGTGGTTACACACTTACAATCATTCACAGCCATTCAGCCTCCTCACTTAAAATTTCAGCCAGCAGTGCAATTTTTTAGCCAAAACCCTGCTCTTTTAGCTGCACCTATTGAAGCATAATACTTCAAGGTGCAATAAGAGGTTGACCACCAAGAGTGACTAGCAGCTAATTTCTCTTTACTGATCACACCTGAGTCAAACAATGAGGTCATGGGAATAAAGGAAATGATCACCAACTAAAGAAGCTGTTGATTGTTCAACAGATTCTCCTTGTCAGTACCTTAGGACCTTTATAGAGGACAGAATGGAGAAGCCAGTGACTCTTAGCAAAGTTGTAGGGTTAATAATAAGGCTTTGAGAACACCAACAAAGAAAGTTAATCAAAATGCTTGTCAGCTTTTTCCTGTTTAGTTGGTTTGTGAGACTTTGAAAGAGTTGTATTTTAAATGCTCGAACCTTAACTTTCTAGTGTTATTCATATTACCTAATAAATCCATATCCAGGGAATGAAAGGTGATATTTAATGACTTGAAAAGCTCCTTCACCTGTAAGAGAGATGTAAACAGAATAAATGAAAACAATATCAAACATTCTTAATGTTATCAAATATTGGTTGACTGTATCGGCAAGGCTAGGAATAATTTCTGGGCCTGGTGCCTGTCATATGATGTTGTTGGGTCAAACCTATTTTTGCTCAGAAACAACCTCTTTAACCACTAGGTCATATCTTAATAAATCTTCTACCCCCCTTGGAAACAAGGTATGTATTTGACTATGTTTTTAGTGTACATGCTGCCTCAAACTCAATGCATGAAACAGAAGACAACTGAAATTAGCTCTGAATTAAATTCTTCTTTACATGCATAAACAACCACACAAAACCACTCCTTGGTTATCCAAGGAGTTGATCTGATTGTTGACCAGCCATTATTTCTAGCCCTGGGGAGAATAAACATCTCCAGAAAATATGCTTTTAAATATTATTGTTTGATCATACACGGCCAATAAATGGCCTGCACATAATCAGAATTTTATATTTAAGCATTCAACAGCTGTTTTCAAAAGCACCCTCTTCTTAATTAAGAGACCAGAGATTCAATCTTTCTTTGCAACACGTAATTAATCTTAATGACAATGAATGATTTTTGTGTCTTTGTTGTGGTGACTTATTCAATGATCCAGGCAGAGGAAAAGCCATCCTAATGAAGTCATTAAGAATATTGAATGGATGTTGAATCTGCATGAAAAAAAAAAAAAAGCACTTCCTTAAATGACAGCTCTAGCTCTGATGGATTAATCAATAGCATAAACTACGAACTGATTAAATATTTTTTTGTCGCTGTTTACTTTCTTAAAGTAATCTTTTTCAACTAATGTCCACAGATCTGGTACAGGACAAGTTGTCAGCGTTCTAACAGTCGCATTCATCGTAAATAATGCACGATTTAAGAAGAAAGCCTAGGGGAAGACAAAATGATTTCGTTATTGTTTTGCTCAAGGAGAAGGTGACATTAGGAAATTAAAGCACCGAAGACTTCTCTTAAATGCAACAGATTTGCATTTTTCGAAAATAAACAGATATTCTCTTCAGAGAAATCGTGTAATATATTTTCGCTACATATTCTAGGATCAGGTAGAATTAACTTTTTTTTTCGTTCCGTGATCGCGTATTCAAATTCTAAGTTTGCTCGGCAGAGTTTTGTCCTTCATGATTGAAGCTTTCATTCGGTCATTGATAGAATCACTTAGTACATAAAAAGATCGAAGTAAAGCCACGGCATTTTTGCATTGTTTACCGTAGACAAAAAAGAGTACCGATCCATAAAGAAAATTAGAGTAAAGTACTGGTGTTCCGTAAATGCCGAAAAGATTTTAACAGTTATATCCCTTTAATTCCTAAATATTCGGGTTAGCTTTAAATTAAACAGATATCAAGCTCCTTATGTTGATGAAAATTAGACCTAACGACTGTCGTCTTGAACGAACTTTAGTTGAATATTTCTCTTACAGGTACAGAATGTTACGCAATTTTCTCCATCTCTTGGATCTACGACGAAAATCTCTTACTTCTTATGACCGACAGTGGAGCTGTTAAATCAAAACTTGTATATCACCAGAAAGCAAATAAATTCTGTATTTACAAAAGCGAACATGTGCAAAGGGAGATTTTTCACACGGAAGGTTACAAAAGACGAGGGCTAAATTGATCAGCGTTGCGTCACAACGTTAAAAACATCGAGTGTTTGGTTCGATCGCGATCACCCTTTCAGTTGCTCGCCAAGGAAAACAAAAGAAACATGCTCACCTTTCTACAAAATGGACATGTCGACTTGGAAAAGACCATTACATTATTGTCTTTGATGTTCTGTTCGATCAAGTCTTTGACGGGAGCCATCTTGTTGGGGACTTCGGGCGAAGGCGTCCTCGCCCGCTTAAGACTCGACACTGTGAAACCAATGGTGGAAAAATATTAGACTGTTGGCGATCAAAATATTTGCAATGATGGCATGAAGGGATTACGGAGAGAACGTGACATTACAGCTTCCTAAAAGTGCATTACTGCGAAACCGGCCGCCATATTTAAGTGTTGGTTACGTCACGTGGTGAACAGTAAGCATTTTCCCGTTTCGCTGTTCCATTGTTTACGCTTTGATTGAGTTATAAATTTAAGGCTCTGTTGACTAGTTCACAGCGTCTTTTTCGAGAAACATACCTGCAATATCGTCCAAATTACCAATTCGCCGGCTAGCTCACCGAAATCGGCCGGCAAAGACTTCCTCTCAATGGCACATGTGACCGATTTAAAATTTACATGACGTCATGCTTGAGAGCTTTATCCCGCGCGCGGCAAGGCGTGCTTGTTTATTTCAAGCTAATTACAAATATACTGAAATATACTCTGTTGAACCTTCGATCGAAATATAAATTTGCTCACAACTTGTGATGATCTAATCAAAAATCATGTGATGGCTAAAATGATCAGATCTATAACCAAATGATCAATTCGTTTTAAAAAAGTTTATGCATTATAAACAATTTTAAATAGGAAGCAAACAAATCAGTGAGTCACGGCATGTAATCATTTTCAAGTTAGTGCGGAATCTTGGTGAGTCATTTCCTGAATCTCTAAGGAACAAAACAGGAATGAATTCTAATAATTCGCTTGTTCGTGACCTCACGTCTTCTATTCAACAATCTTAAGCACTATGTGCGAAACTTCAGGAATTATCTCTTGTTCACGAACTTTCGCTTATCGATTCCAGATGGTTCCAAATCTGGTGTATGGATGGGCAAATGTTCACACGTTATCTGGTACATTAAACTTACGGAGAAGATATATTTAAGGCATTTTTAGGCAATGTTATTATAATTAAGTCATTAACTCGGCACATGTTTCAACGAATTATAGATTTTAACAAGAATATACTTAATTAGTTCGCCGACTCGGCAAGCA